AGCGTTAATCTTGCATTATTTTTTTTTAAATGGTTAGGATGAACTTAAACAGGGTAAGCCCATTTTATTAGAAATTGAGTTAGGAAACCCAAAGAGAATATAGCCTATACTTAGAAGACTTCTAAATGGTTGAAGGAAACTCATTAAGGATGATGCTATTACATTAAAAAAATCAAATTTATCTATTGAAAAGTGATGTTATCGTACTAGGGAGACCTTATACTAGTCACTCGAAAAGTAGTGTTATTGAACTAGAAAGACCGTATATCCATTTCCTTAAGAGTAATGCTAGTGTATTAGGAAAACCATATATCCATCCTTTAGAAACTGATCAATGAAGTGTGAAAGGCTTGTGGCCTAGCAAGAATAGGGGAATATATACTTACAATGAGTAATGTTACCTTTTATTTATTATTAGAGCCTCTCAAGTCCTAATGATACCTCTAACATGTATAAGCCTCCATAAAAATTATCCGTAGACGTAGTTTTGGGGTATAGCCATGGGCATAATTGTGAAGTGTAGCTATGAGTGTAGTTGTAAATATAGTTATAAATGTAGTCGTGGGTGCAACTTTTAGCGTATATGATGCATAACTGTTAGTTTAGTCACTGACATATCATTGATGTAGCTAAAGATATAACCACTAGCACAATAATTGTTATGTTGGGGTTTTATTAGCCATGACAAGACCTTTTAAGCAGTGATGGAGGCAGGGGGGCTGACAGGGGCCCCAACCCTTGTAGGGAATTTGTTTCCCAGCCCCCTCCCTTGTAAATATTTTAAAAATAATTAAAAATTTAACTTAGCCCTTTTTAATTTTTAATTTGCCTTCCCTTAATTTTTCTTTCTTGCTCCGCCCTTACTTTTAAGAAATAGGAAATGAAATGGGTTTCTTAATATGTATTTTTTTATTTAAAGATATAAGATCTTTTTAAACACTTTATATGTTAATTAAGTCTAATTTAAGTTGAGGGGAAACCATGAAAGATAAAGCCAGTATTTAAAGAATTTCTATCTGGCTAGGGAGAACATAATGAGAGTACATTTATACTTAGAGAATTTTTTAAAAGGTTAAGAGAAACCCATTGAGGGTAGAGCATGTACTTTTTTTTAACTGGTAAAGGGGAACCTAAATAAGGTGAGCCTATACTTAGAATTTTTTTTAAGAGATTAAAGGAATCCATGAAGGGTGGAGCCTCTACTTAGAGGATTTCTAAGTGGCTAAGAGAAATCCCTTGAGGGTAATGCTATTATTCTAGGAAGACCACGTCTATTTATTAGAGAGTGATGTTATTGAACTAGGGAAACCAAATTCATTAATTGAAGAGTGATGCTATTGTACTAGGAAGACCTTATACCCATCACTTTAAGAGTAGTGTTATTGAACTAGGGAGACCTTATACCCATCTCTTAGAAAGTAGTGTATTGCATTACAAAAACCCCATACTCATCCCCTAAAGAGTGGAAGACATAATTGTGGAGCATAGCCTTGGGTGTAGTTGTAGACATAGTCGTAAACGTAGACGTAATCGTGGGTGTAACTTCTAGCATAGCCTAGGCATAACCGTTGCCTTAATTGTACTGACATATCATTAGCATGGCTAAAGATATAGCCATTGGTACAACTACTGTTATATTAGGGTTTCGTCAACTATGAAAAGACCTTTTAAGAAATAGGAAATGAATTAGCTTTTTGGTTAGTTTCTATAGATAGTGCTAATGATGATGTCTTAAAAAATCTAAATAGTTTACAAGCAAAACTTATATGTCGGATAATTAATTAATCTCTTGGTTCTAGTAATTTGATCCATTCTCCTATTAAATGTGACTGATATCTGGTACCTGGTACCTCAAAAACTAAGGTGGTTAGTAACTGTAAAATGTTGTTTTTGGTAGATGTAGAGAATATCAAATATTTAAATAAGTATTTCTGTAAAGAAAAAAAGTGTAATGATATTTTAGGGAGATAAATTCTGAAAGTATATATGTTAAAAATATTAAGCATGGAGAGATTATAAACCTGAAATTTGAAGAATTTTTGAATATTTATGGTCTATAAGTCTTGTCATTTTATTAAAAAAAAAAGAACTAAAGTGTAACTTTATCATAATAGCATTAATAAGAAATAAGTATCCCCTACACTAACATTAATGCGATAAAAATCTGGTAAGTGTAGGAAGAGCATGATTCAAAATGTACCAAACCTATGAAAGCTAGGTTCTTCCTTAAAACTGAGTTCACGAGAGTTAAGATTTTTTTTTTTAGGTTGAGCCTATAAGCGATTGGGTACATGCATATTACATGAGACTATGGATTTTTAGGTCTTCCATGAGTTTTTAGACTTATTAAATTTGAATTTATCACAACCCTACTAAATGACTAAAACAATCTTTTAAGATTGCAAAATATACTTTAACGGTTAAAATCTTCACATTCAGTAATTGATAATCCTGTGAAAAATTTATGATTTTGAGCTTACTTCATACTTTGAAATTTCAACATTTTTACATAATTTTCTAAAAACTAAAATATCACTCCATTAAAATTGTTGTAAAGAAATCACCCATCATTCAAAAATAAACGACCGAGGAATCGACATCTTTTTTGGTGAAACAAACAAAGAAGGTGTCGAGAGTATGTATGTACGTTGGTGGTGTGTGAAGCTATCCTCCACGATGAATATGATGTTTCCTTGTCTCCATAACGATGATGTTTCTCTTTTTCAGCTTTGAGATCACAGGTGTCACGCGTCTACTGTGGTTTTCCAACTAGAACCGAATCTCTTTCATATTCAAAGGAACCCACTAGTCATATGAATAATGTAGCCGTTGGCCCTACCCAAACCCTAGGAGCACCGCCCTTACAGCCAAGGCAGCTTCCTTAATTAATTAACCCTTGAAGGAGTAATCATAAAGCTGATTACTTTTTTCAAAATTAATTGCAATCTTATATATCTATATATATATATATATATGTATGTATGTATGTATGTATGCAAATTAAACATTTCTTCTTTTACTTGTAATTATATGGCTTGTATACATTTCTCCCACCGTATATAGCAACCACTCCGGCAATAATTTTCATGATACCACCGACTATAATATAATCTCTAATTAATTATATGGGACCTGCCTTTAGTTGTTGATCATGGGGTTGAATTTATGAGCTTATATCAATAGCCAATTTTATTTTATTTTTATCTAAACCATGATATTTAAAATTCTATCGAACTCCAATTAATCCAGTCAAGCTGGATCGGTCCACTAAAATATAAAACTCTTCTAATAATAATGCATTCCATTCACAGTACTTGAACTTGAGATAGTCAATTGTTAATTTGCATGCAAATTAAGTCTACTCAATTAGCTTTTGAAACCAGAATTTATAGTAAAAGAGTTTGCTATATATATATATATATATATATATATATTTGCCCCAATTCCATCTACCATCTCACTTTCCATATGAATATATGCAAGTAATATAAGAGAAGAAGTGGAATGTTATAGTAGTTTTTTAGCTAAATCATCAAGACTACTAAGAATTCTTACTTGCATCCAGCAGTAAGCCAATAACACAATCACCTCCCATTTACTTTGGAATATTCCCCATGGAGTTAAATATTATAAATATTGTTAAAAATATATTCTTTATTTTTTATTTGTTAGAATTCAAAGCTTAGATAGAGTATTAAAAATTACAATTCTCATGAATTTTCAAGTTCAAAGTATGATATATCAAAATTTCCTTATTTTTCTTGTTTTTTTATCTATTTTTTTAATGTCTAGCAAAGATCGGTTAAGCAAACAACTTTAAAAAATAAATGAATTTTTTAAAAGTTTTTAGAATAATCACCTATATTACAGTAGTGTTTCACTTCATTTATCTATTTTTTAATTAAACTGTGGTAGCAAAAACAAAATATGATTAGGTTTTAATTTAGATTCAAGATAGCTAAATTATACAAAATATAATATCCAGAACTAAATTTAACTTTTACAAAAATCATGCTAGTGAACTCCACGGGAGAGATTGAACAGTAGCCTAACTGTACTAAAAGAGCCCTAGGCTTTGGAAGTTCATATAATATTTCACCACCCGTGACAGGATGCCCACCTCCGTCGCAGATTCCTCGGCAACGAGTCGAATATTAGGCGTCGCCGGTTTAATATTGAAATAAAGTTTATTAAACCTGTTATGGTGGTGGTAAAAAACTAAAAATAGAAAGTAGCTTAGAACCTTCCTTGTTACGTGGCAAGATCCGAACGGGCAAGTGATAAAGGTGGTCACAGTGGAGAAGAATTGAACTTTATTCTTCCATCCCATACGCCGGTGTCATCCACCACCAATTTTCTCCAATCATATCCGAAGGACCCTACTCCCTTGTACAAAATCATTGTCCATGATTATCTTTGTTTATTTGGGTTCTTCGTTTAATAGCATTTGGATTAATAATTCTCATTTATTAAAATTTAATTTAATTAATCTCTGATTCATTTAATACATAAACTAATCAAATGTAGTGTTTTAATGCTAAAAATCAAAATAAAAAAATATCCTAAATATTAAATTCTGTTTAATATTAAAATACCAGTTATTTTTTAAAATATTTTTTATTTAAAAATATAATAAAATAATATTTTTATTTTTCAAAATTTATTTTTAATATTAACACACGAGATTTAATAATATAAAAAAATTAATTTAAAATATAAAAAAATATTATTTTTAAAATATTTTTAACACACCAAAAAATAAACCTGCTTTAGAATACAAAAGATCACAAAAAAAGCTTCCAGCTTTGGTTGTGTGCAAAGCTGGCACCAGCTTTTGGGTCTTTAGCTCCACCAGTTATTGTTCACGCGTCCCCCACCTTCTCCATACTCATCTCTTCTTTTCTCTCACGACCATAATTCCTTTCTCTCTTTATATATAACTCTCCATTTAAACCCTATACTCCCACCATTCACATCAAACTCCCACCATTCACATCAGATTCATCTTTCCTCTCCTCTCCTCTACTCTTGTGATATAACAGAAAAAATGGGGTTGTTTTGTTATGAATTCTCCTTGTTTGTGATAGCATGCTCTATGGCGGTGGTTGCTTCAGGCAACTTCTATCAGGATTTTGACTTAACATGGGGTGACCGACGTGCAAAGATATTCAACGGAGGACAGCTTCTGTCTTTGTCTCTAGACAAGGTTTCTGGGTCTGGATTTCAGTCCAAGAAGGAGTACTTGTTTGGGAGGATTGATATGCAGCTCAAACTCGTCGCTGGCAACTCTGCTGGCACTGTAACAGCCTACTATGTACGTACATGATGATTCTTCAAAAACATTAGAGATAGTTTAATTCAATATATATATATATATATATATATATATATATATTTTCTCTTTCTCACCGATAGTTTAATTCAATATATATATATATATATATATATATATAGTCACTTTCAAACCAGAATGATTTTGAAAGCAGCTCCATATAAAGTAGAATGAAATGGCCATGGCTAAAAGTTCACGAGCATGATTACTACCCAGCCCCGCTTGTACACCTTCCTTTCAGGAAACAACACATGGACGTCCACTTTTCAAAAAAATGCATGTGAATTTGTGTCAACCACCTCCAGATTAATATCAAGTTTAAATTGAATTAATTGTTATTACTATTTATAATTTCCTTTATATTCACAGTCTAACTAGTAGTAATTTATTTGTTTTTTCATGCAGTTGTCTTCGCAAGGACCAACGCATGACGAGATCGACTTCGAATTCTTGGGAAACCTTAGTGGCGACCCTTATATTTTGCACACTAACGTATTCACTCAGGGGAAGGGAAACAGAGAGCAGCAGTTCTATCTCTGGTTTGATCCCACGAGGAACTTCCACACTTATTCCATCATCTGGAATCCTCAGCACATCATGTAAATCCTGTGCTAATTCTGATATTCTCTACTTTGAAAAGTTGGCTGCTGTTTCTAACACGATATTTCTCACCATCTTTTTTCAGCTTCTTGGTGGACAGCATTCCCATCAGGGTGTTCAAAAATGCTGAATCAATTGGAGTTCCATTTCCCAAGAGCCAACCCATGAGGATTTACTCTAGCCTCTGGAATGCTGATGACTGGGCTACAAGAGGTGGATTGGTCAAAACTGACTGGACCAAGGCGCCCTTCACCGCATACTACAGAAACTTCAAGGCCAGTGCCTGTACTTGGTCTTACGGTACTTCTTCCTGTGGTTCCAAGCCTTCCAGTGCTTTCTCTGATGGTGCATGGAAAACCAATGACCTTGATGCTCCAAGTAGAAGAAGACTGAGATGGGTTCAGAAATATTTCATGATCTACAACTACTGCACTGACCTAAGACGCTTCCCTCAGGGTCCCCCTCCTGAGTGCAAATAGATTCATGGATGAACCCTTTCTTGAGATTTATGGTATTGAACTTTGAAGTCCATGGATCGATGGAGATTCTTTGCACATACCCTTGTACTCCAAGTTACACTTAGCTTGATCGATATTCAGGGGCCGCCAGAATAAAATCCTATTCTTTTGCTTCTTGTTTATCTATAGTACTTCCTTTTGTCAGGATGTTTCTACGTTCTCCAGATAATAACGAATCTTGTTTGAGTTTAGTTTCTCTAAATCAGTGGTTATTTATGAAGGATTATTATAATTATGATCAGAACTATCATCATTTTTAATTTTAGTTCATCTGAGACAATTAATTGTTGATGAAAGTGAAGGTTTCAGTCATGTAGTCCAATCTTAATCCAATCGATTAATTTTATTGGATGTCATATAAATTGCAAACAAGGCAATGAAGAATTAGACGATCTGTTGAGAAAATTAGAAGAAGAAGAGGATGAGGTTAGAGCCATAGACAGCCCAGTTCAATCCTTCCAAGCTTGAACTATTTATTATTAAAAAAAAATAAAGATCAAATAGTACCCAATTCTTTTTTAACTTTCTTGACTACCCTCCTAGCTCAAAACTTGACAACATAATTGTCAAACTTGGCTCAGGATAAGAGCACCTCTACAGTGATGCAGCTTCTCTGTCTCCTGGAATGAGATGCAGCAGTTATTGGAATCGCCATACATTTATAACAAAAATACAAAACTGAAAGCGAAATTTTATATATATAGATAACATGTTAGTCATTATTGATTTATTTAAGATATTTTTTATTCAACATTTTAATAAATAATAAAATATTCAAAATACCTCTAAAAAAAATAAACAGTTTTGCGTAGAGATATTTATATATTTTTTTATACATAATAAAATTACATATGTATCCTTGGATTTCTAAAAATTTAATTTATTGGGATCATGGGTATTAGGGTTGTTTAGCCTCAATTGTCTTTGTTAATTATTTGTTCGGTTAGAGATAGAAACATAATTTATCATTAAAAAATATCTTTTATTTTAAAAAATAACATATACTAGAGTGTTAGGGACACCATATACTTTCTTTTTAGATTAACGTGGGTATCCGGGCCAGCTTGCGCGCACCACGACTAATCTCACGGGCCCTAAAGTTAACGACCATATAAACCTCTAGTGGCCATCATATGAACAACCAAAGACTCGAACCTGAGACCACAGAGGGAGCAAATCCTTTGATCCCAAGTTCTTACCATTTGGGACACCATATACTTTTGACAGCATGTGAGGGGGCTTTTGATGGTAAAAAATAACCTTTTACCGTATCATTTGATTTCTGGTCATCTTCTTTTCCATTATAAGTGGTACATGTTATTTAAATATAGTCAATTTATTAGCGGTGAGTTTTTTTCCTTTTTCATTTCTCTCCTTTACCCCGATAAAACTTTGTTATATCTTGAAGATATATTGCTTTAACCCTATAGCAAATATAAATGGAGTAATTAATATCTTGAAGACAGTCACCTTGATGCCTCAAAGCGTGTTTGCTATACCTATTAGCCTAACAGTAGTTCGCATAAGGAGTTCATCTAAGACAAACCAATTAATGCATTAACTAATCAATTTGTATTATTAGTGTATATATAATAATATTTAACAAAACTCTAAAATGCATGGTAAATTCACTATAATGAATTTACCTTTATGCTTCTCGGTGGAAAAGTTAAAAAGTTAGGATATGGAGGTATTTTAATCTTTTACATTGACTCACTGGTCATTAAAAAATAGAACATGACTATTATTGTTTTTTAAGATTATTTTATATAGTAACAATATTCTTCTACTTCCAAGATTAATGAAATTTAAACCTGCTTACTAAGTTTTTTTTTTTTACTTTGTATAAACTTTAAAATAAGTAAAATGCTTTTTTACCATTAATAAATATAAAATAGCTTCAATGCATTCAGGTGTGTTTTGATACTTTCACATTGATTTATTTATTATTTCCAATGTTACGGGGGCTTCTTAATAAATTAATATTTAATTTAAAAAAGATGTTGTCACGCATTTTTCATGGCACCAACATTTGTATGGAAATAGCCTTTTGCCTCTAGAATCTTCATCCTTGGCAATTTTAGAAAAGATTTTAATATTTTCAATTCAATCCTTAAATCACAATTTGTCACATATTATTTTTTTTAATATGATCCTTATTCTTTTGATTAGTTATTTTTATCTTTAGATCTTTTATTAAAGTTTTTTAGTATTCAATTTCATCATTCAATCAAAGTTTTTGTTTTTGTTTTTTTTTAAATTTAGCTTTCATTCTTTTGATTTTTTTTTCCTTATTTTAATTATTTTTTATTTAACCCTGCAATTTAATTTTTAAATGCCCTCAAATTTATTTTTTATTTCGGTTTCTACCCTTATTTTTTAATTATTTTTATGTGGTTGATTTTTTTCTTAGTTACATCCTTCAATGTTTGATTTATTTAGGATTGGGTTTTATGATTTTTTATTTGGCATGCTATCTAATGACACAAGTCATAATTTTTAAGTTTGAATACATTTTGGAATTTATTTTTTTTAAAATTCTAATCAGCAGGCAAACAAGAGTCAAATGGCTACTAATGTATTCAAAACCATTAAAAAAAGAAGAAAAGAAATAAAGTACGGATGAATTAGGCTGACCAAATTTGATTAACCTACCCATCTAAATGATGATTGGCTGGTAAGTCTGGTCGTTTTTTTTTGGCAGGTTCTATATGAAAAATATTTATTTTTTATTTTTGTAAAGTGTTATCTGTACTTTAAAAAAATAATATCTTCTAAAAAAACTAACTTCATCTCCGAACCAAACACGAACTCGTCCAACAAGTCACCCCATCCAACCAGCTCTTTAAAGAGCGCTATTAATAATAATAATAATAATAATAATAATATAAAAAAAGAATAATATGAGTTTGCCCCCCAATCATCCTTTTAAAATAGAACATGCACGTCAGGTTAGGATGTTCTTGCGAATCACGACTGCGCGCTTCTCCAAATCGTCATCACAAACGTCATGCTCAATCCATCCTCTATTATTTAAGCAAGCTTGTCCAATCCTTAGAATGGATGCTCTCACTCTTTCCTTGAAAGTTGTTTCC